GAAGAGGATATTTAGAGAAGAGAATAGTACATACAATATAATGACATTAAGGATAGTGGACTTGTAGAAGTCAAGTTTGAAAGCTTGATGTACATCTTGTTTTCCATTCACTTTGAATCCGAATTGTTGAAGTAGATAGAGGCTTCAGGGATGTTGCAGGGTGGGAGTGCTGATGTGCAGAGTGTGCAGCTGATCTGCAGGGCTGCTAAGAAAGACTATCTTGAATCCGAATTGTTGGAGACATGCAAATGCTGTATGGAAGAAAAGGCCACATATATCCCACTTCCACAGACTGCTCAAAGGAAGACCACCCACCCCATGGAGCTCATACACAGTGATGTGTGTAGACCAATGAAAACTCCCACATCGGGTGGGAACAGATGTCCACTCACTTTCATTGATTATTATTTCAGGTACTGTAATGTTGGGGAGCTCAGAGCGCTCGCACAGGGTTTTTTATAAACCAAAAAGTATTTTCTTTTTTTTTTTTCTTCAGACAACTCAGTTAAAAACACAACTTCAGGCTTAACTTCAGCATATAACACAAAGTATATTGTCTCACCGACTCAAGGTTGTCCTGTTCAGTGTTCCAATCCCAGGACTTTAACATTTGCCTCAACAAAAACTCTTCCGGTCACTTTATACCCTTTAACCACTTCCAGCAACTTTGCACACTACTCCTCCAGCCGCCCTGGCTGTTCTATGTGGCTCTGCCACACCACCTGGCTTGGCCCTTGTGTGCCCCCAGCACACACCACACCAACTCTCAGCTCTGGTCTGGGCTCTTAATGAGGCTGTTCTCAGTCACCTGATCACCTGCAACACCTTCACCTTTCATCTCACCTAGAACTCTTAAGAGATCTCCAGATCCCAGCTACAATCTGGGAAAAACCAGAAGAAACAAAGGCCAGTTTCTTCCCTGCAGAACTATTTACATTCTGGAACCTCTCAGCCCCTGTGGCTGAGAGTCCTAGGTGAACCTGTTGCCAGCATACTCCGTGGTATTGGGCAGTATGCCACAACTTAGCTGATGAAGTGCAAGAATTAAACATCAGAAAAACTTCAAGCGTTTGTAGCCATTCAGGGATTCACCAATACCTGTTTTCCGTTATCGAGTACCGATATTTATCTTTTTTTTCGGCACTTGCCGATACTGAGTACCAGTAGTTCTGCTAGCATGGAGCCGGCTTCCCAGGCAATCGGAAAGCCAGGCAACGTATCATTACCCTGGGAAGCCAGCCCCATGCTGTTTTCCCAGTTTGATGTTGATTGGCCAGGAAGCCAGCTCAATTATGTTTTGCCGGGAAGCCGGTCATTTATAGTGGTTGGCCGGGAAGCCGGTCATTTATAGTGGTTGGCCGGGAAGCCGGTCATTTATAGTGGTTGGCCGGGAAGCCGGTCATTCATAGGCGTTGGCCGGGAAGCCGGTCATTTATAGGGGTTGGCCGGGAAGCCGGTCATTTATAGGGGTTGGCCGGGAAGCCGGTCATTTATAGGGGTTGGCCGGGAAGCCGGTCATTTATAGTGATTCCAATTGGGAAGCCGGGTGGTGGGTTATAAAAGTACTGATTATTTATCTTTTTTCGGTACTTGCCGATACTGAGTACCAGTACTTCCGCTAGCATGGAGCCGGCTTCCCAGGCAATCGGAAAGCCAAGCAACGTGTCATTACCCTAGGAAGCCAGCCCCATGCTGTTTTCCCAGTTTGATGTTGATTGGCCGGGAAGCCAGCTCAATTATGTTTTGCCGGGAAGCCGGTCAATTATAGTGGTTGGCCGGGAAGCCGGTCATTCATAGTGATTCCAATTGGGAAGCCGGGTGGTGGGTTATTACCCGCTGCCTGGCTTCCTGATTGGACGGGAAGCCGGATCCATGTTCCCTCGTGGCACTACCAATCAGAGGAAGTCTCCCTCTAACCAGAAATTCTGGTATCGGGTTAGGTATCTGAGCATTTGGGCGAGGTAAGAGTTCTCGCCCAAAATACTTGTTGTTTGCACTGATACTAGTATTGGTGCATCCCTAGTAGCCATGTCCAGAGACAAATTCCAACAGAAACCAGGAATTATATGCAACGACAACAGATAAATCAGTAAGGAAGTAGAATCGTATCTGAAGAAACAAGGCATGGTACACCAGACAACCACACCGCACACTTCTGAACAAAATTATGTACCAGAATGGAAAAATTGCACTGGGGAGAAGCACTCATGACTGCAACATACCTACAGAACAGACTACCTTCAAAAGCTGTTGAAGGCACCCCATTTGAAATGTGGTATGGATCGAAGCCTAGCCTAAGGCAGATCAGTTTGTTTGGATATAAAGCCTGCACCTATATTCCATATGAGAAATGATTCAAATTGGAGAACACGGCCATAGAAGGTATTCTGATGGATTATAGTAAACAAAGTAAGGGATATAGAAACCTCCACCCAAAGACTGACCAAGTGACAATAGGTTGCACCGTTTATTTCGATGAGAACCCATCACCAGAAACATTGATCCCGGGAAGTTGTGAAGTGATTTTCGCCCAGTGCACCAACAAAGGAAGCTGAGCAAAGTGAAGCTGCACAGGAGTCAGAACCAGAAATGGAACTCTCAATGGATAAGTCAAATTTCATGTTAAATTCTGTTGAATAACTTGATTAGAAGATCGACTCGTGCAGCAGAATACCACCCTTCAAGCTGTCATATGCTGCTGAGACAAATGGCGTAGTCAAACCAATATTGTGGGACGACATAGAAAAATTACCAAAACGCAAAGCCAATCAATGGCGACAGGCAGCAAAGGAAGAAATAAAATCACTCCAAGAAAATCCTGGACTCTCACGGAGCTTCATCCCAAATAGTAAGAAGTATAAAGCAAAAGGAATTTTAGGGTGAAGCTGGATGCCGGAGTAAATATCCACAAATACAATGCCAGATTAGTTGCCAAGGGATACTCCGAGAAATTTGGAGAAGACTATGATAAAACATTTGCTCCTGTCATAAAACACTCCACCATCAGAACACTCCTTAGCATCACAGCTGGGAAGGGCATGCAGGTGAGACACCTAGACGTTAAAACCAATTTTTCTTACATGGAGACATTATGGAAGATCTCTACGTGGAGGAACCACCCAGGTTCGAGCAAGGACACAACCTTGTGTGTAACCTCCATTAAAGCATCTTGCAATATGCAAGAATGTGGAATGAGAAAGTGAATGAAAAACTCACGATTAGAGGGCTTCACAAGAATCAAAGCAAATCCCTGCCTTTATTCCTGGAATCAATAAGACAGATGGGATGTACATCCAAATTTAGGTTGATGACATTCTAACCTGTTTTGAACAAGAAGGGGACTATAGCCAAATAGTTCACAAACTAAAACAAAACTTTGAAATCAAAGAGCTAGAAAGCATCAGTCTTTCTGGGAATTCAGATGGCTTCCATCTTCTTCCCTCTCTATCTTCTTAACCAAAGCCAGAAATTGCACACATTTTGGAACAATTCCACATGCAAGATGCAAAAGAGGAACACCTATGGAACCAGGCTACCAAAAGAGCAATGAAGCAGAGAACTTGCTACCCAACAATGACACCTACCGCAGAGCAATCGGAAAGCTACTATAAAGCCTCTTGACAAGACCAGACATGTCAGCAGCAGTGAGTATACTCGCTAGAAAAGTCGTAGCACCCTGTCAGTGTGACTGGAATGCAGTAAAGAGGGTAATACAATACTTAAAAAGAACAATTTGGATGAAGCTACAACTGCCAGCACATCATATCCAAACTAGGCAGATTTTTATTAATTTTTCTGCTGTCTTTGCAAATGCTAAAGTTCCTATGAAATGTATGCAGTTTGAGTGTAATAAGGTTGAAAGGAAATATTCTATGTCTAATGGTTCTTAAGTACTTAATCAGTCTATTTATGAAATTACTATATTGTCTATATACTGTCCCAGGTCAAGTGTTTTTAGTTCTACATAATATGACAGCTGACATAACCCCAAATTCTGTAAGTTCTTTAACTTTTGTTACATACTATTGTAAAGCATGGCACCTGTAAGTAATTCACAACTTCTATGTTGGCTGTACATGCTTCTATCTCTTTACCCATTAACATTGTACCTCCCTGGTTTTCTTTGATTCTGTTGCAAAATACATGTCTAATCATTTAAGCCTGGCTTTGTTTCAGAATGCTGGTTTAAAGTGACACTAAACTCAGGAGTTAAATTTCTGAAGATGCATTCAAGTATCTTAACTGTTAGCAAAAATTTAGCTTATCTGTGTATCACTTTGCTGTAGAGCCTCAAACCATCTCGGAATTTGTGCTGACACTGTCCTTCCTTCTGGAGGGTGCCTACTTTTTTTCTTCTCCATGGTCCCTGTGTGTTGTAAAGTAGCCACCACCCCAAGCTTGTTCCCATGATAGCTAATTTTATTGAAGTTTATAGTCTTAACTCAAGGCCAGATTGTACTCCATGACAAGCGTGAGCGGTGGCTACTTTATAGCGCACACAGAGACCATGGGGAACAAAACTAGCCACCCTCCAGAAGGAAAGACCTTGTTGGCACCAATTCAGAGATTTGAGGATCTACAGCTTGGTGATGCACAAATGAGCTACAGTATTGTTAATGGTGTACTTGAATGCATTTTTAAGGTTTAACTCCTGAGTTTAGTGTCTCTTTAAAGCACACCTTTTGAAATGGGAAAGCTTGCAGGGGCAGCTGTTTTCTCTTGGGCTGGGCACACCCTGAGGGGTTTTTTGTTTCTAGGTTTTTCATCTGTTTGCTTTACCTGATAGTCTGCCAATTGGCAATCGCTGTAAAGTCTGTAGGCAGAAACTTAGAAATTGTTATAAGGAGTAGTACAGTGCTCAGCAATTTTTAATTTGGAAAAGGGTGACCCACCTCTTGTCATTTTTTTTTTCCTGTATTTTCTAGATCACTAAAAAACATCTGACTTGATGTCATTTTTTGTTTTTAGATTAGTTGATTGCTTGTATTTTCTTTTGTTAGATTATCTTGGAAAATTATGCCTATCCTGGAGTGCTCCTGATTGGTACAGACTCTCATACCCCCAATGGAGGAGGCCTTGGGGGCATTTGCATTGGCGTTGGAGGTGCTGATGCTGTGGATGTCATGGCTGGAATTCCCTGGGAACTCAAATGTCCTAATGTGAGTTGTTTACACTTAAAGAAAAATTGGGTTTAAATAAGGAGCATTGAGAAAAAAAAAAAGGTAACCTGGTTTAATACATCTTTTATGTAATCATCATTTTAGCACAATGTGCAAATGTTGGCTAGCATTAAATGCTAAAATTGAGAATATGAAATGCATTTGTATTACAAACTATACAAAAATCCAGAATTACAAACCTATACAAAAATCCAGAATTACACCTATGTGCCAATCACAGGCTTATGTCCCTTTTTATAAACTGGATTTCAAAATGTATGCCAAACTTTTTGCCAACAGACTTGCCTAAATATATTCCCAATTTCATCCATAGCAAACAGGTAGGTTTTGTTCCAACTGGGAAGCACGTTATAATACTTTAAAAATGTTAACCCTTAAAGTGACAAAGTAAAAAAAAAATTTCCCTCCCCCCAATGTTAATGTCCGCACTTGCCTTAAATGATGTTTCTTAATCCGATCTTTCTTGTCCTTTTTCATCATGCGCCTCTACAGCGCTGACTCCTCTGAGCTTGCTGGCACTTCTGTCCCACGGTGTCTGCATGCGGGTGCACGCGTCCATAGACCTACCTTGTGTCTCTCCTCCTCGCGCCCTGGCCGAAAATGTGATCTGCGCCCGGCCCAAGATACTTTGTGGCCGTCGGAGAATTTCCACTTTTTTATTTATTTTTTTTACACTTTTTGCAAATATCTACTGCTTGCTAGCAGTAGATATTTGCAAAAAAACACGGGAGGCTTTAATTATCCTTTTAAGTATGTTCACCCTCCCCCTTTGTATATTTTCTATAGATGCAGTAGAGGTTTGATCATATAGATTGATCCTTTATACAAGCCACATTGCTGCACATAGTGGTTCCACAGATTTAGTGTATAAAATTATGGCTATGTCGGCTAGTTGCATCTTTTCCAATGTGGTTAGCATATTCAATGGTACCTGCCAAGGCTCTCTGCTTTCCCTGCATTTGTAGCATTTAGAGGAAGCAATTTGTAATAACTCTCTCATACAGGGTTTTTTTTATGAAGAGCACCCATCATAAACCTGGCCTATACGCAGATGACATGTTCTACATTTCTCAAAACAGCATTTGAAAAAACTGACTCATTTCAGGGCTTTAGGTAATGCAAAGTCCACTTTATACTGGAGGCGATTAATTAATATCTTTCCCGTCAGGTGAATTTTTCTTCAATCCTTTTGCGTTCATGTGGCAGGACTAGGTGATCTATACCAGGGGTCGCAACCAAAGTAATTGTATGTGGCGTCCGGGAGGCCCAGGCTCCAAGCAAGATGGTTTTTTTTTAGTTTAATATGTGCGGTGCAATTACTACTTTTCAGACGGAGGAGCTTTCTTTAACCTGCCAGATGATGAGCGCAGCTGCTGGAGGGGAGACGTAAGTTTAATCCAGCAGACTCCCAAGGGGGGAGGGGGTGGAGTGAGTTGGGGAGGAGGAGAGATGCACACCGAACAACTGGAGGGAGGGGTTAGACGGGAGATGGACGCTGAATTACTACTAAAACGAAGATGTTTGTGGTGTCCCAGTACACATGGATTGTTTGCATGTGAAGCTGGGGCTTAGCATTGCTCCAAGACTGCCAATGCAGGTCTGCAGCAGTGAAGGAGTTAAATTCATTCACCCTGTGGTCCTGGAAAGTATATGGCAGCTTTTATCTCCTGGCACCCAATCCTGTCCTGTCATCTGATTGCAGGGCCTTCTCAAAGATCTCTGAAGAGCATAATAGTGATTTACCATTTCACAGACAGCAGGAATCAACAAGTAGCTGGGCAAGGAGGAGAGAGACACCGACTGATGCTAGGAGGGGGGTGGAGGAAGAGAGACATCGACCGACGCTTGGGGGGCGAGAGACACCGACTGACGCTGGGGGCACGCAAAAATTTCCTCGGCCGAAAAGGGGTCACGAGTGGAAAAAGTTTAAGGCCTGATCTATACTACCTAACTACCTACAGATTAATTCCGACTTTTTCATGTTTCTACACCTTTAAAGTGATATTGTCACTCTTGCAGCCAAATTGGGATACCACATGTTTCCATTCACATAGCATAAACTAACTTTGTTTAGGATTTCTGTTCTTAAAATGACGCTTAACTCTGAAGTTAAATCTTAAATGCGTACCTTAACCATCAACAAAAATGTAGCTTATTTGTGCATCACTCAGCTGTAGATCCTTTAAAGGAGAACTATGGGGTTAAGGCTTTTCCCCATAGTTCTCCTTAGGGTAACGGGAGGACACAAACTAGCATCCTCCCGTCACCCTAGGCTCAGTATACCGCGAGCTGTAGCTCGCGGTATACTGAGACGCCGCAGTATACCGCGAGCTCCAGCTCGCGGTATACTGAGACGCTGAAGTGGATCCTGACAATTGTGCCGGGATCCGCCAAGCTGCGTGACTGACAGCTGGCTCTGCCTATCTAGAGGCAGAGCCAGCTGTACCCTCCCCCGTCCGTTCCGCCAGTAAGCGCTGGCGGAACGGGGAGGGGGGAATCCAGCTCCTCCCCTGTCACGGCAGAGAGCCGTGACAGGATCGAGAGGTGAGCGAACGCCGGTATGTGTTCGCTCACCTCACGATCTACTGAGCCGACCTGTGACAGTCTCATTGTCACCGTTCGGCTAGAACTATGAGGTGAGTGAAAAGCACTCACCTCCATAGTTCTCCTTTTAAATCATCTCTGAATTCATGCGGACGCTGTCCTTCCCTCTGGAGGGTGGCTACTTTCGTTCCTCATGGTCCCTATATGTGTTGTAAAGTAGCCAGCGCTCCAAGCTCGCTCCTGTAATGGGCTACAATCTCATGTTTAGTTTTACTAATTTGCATTGAAATCATCATCTGTCACAGGAGCAAGCTTGGAGCGGTGGCTACTTTACAACACACAGGGACCATGGGGAACAAAAGTAGCCACCCTTCAGAGGGAATCACAGTATCAACATGAATTCAGATTTGAGAATCCACAGCTCAGTTATGCACAAATAAGCTGTATTTTTGTTAATCGTTGAGGTACTTGAATGCATTTTTAGGATTTAACTCCTGAGTTGAATGTCACTTTTGGGGTTAACATTTTTGCCTGCATCTACTTTTTGTAAGTTGGGAGGGGTTTCTCCAGTCTTCAGTCCCAGTCTTCAGTCTTTCTATAAGAATAGATCACTGTGGGGGTGCTTAGAAAAACCTGGGATCAGCCATGTTGCCTGCCGCAACAAAACCTCTTAACCCCTTAACCCTTTCGCTGCCAAGGACGTACGGCATACGGAGGAACAAAAGTTCTCCCGGCTGGCCAGCTCAGTATGCCGTACGGACCTGGCATTTACAGTTCTATAAGCTTTAGCGACCATGAGCTTAGGGTAAAACTGTTCCCCGGGACTGTCCCCTTCGAATTAATAGCGCTCATCAGCGGCTCACAAGCCGCTGATGACTGAACAGCCTGTTCATTCAAGAATTTAGGAATGGGGACCAGCACTCGCTACAGAGGCTCCTCCCCATTCATGCGTTGTGATCTTTGTGTTGCAAAAATATACGCCTATCATTTTATCACAACACAAACACCAAAGTGTAAAAACAATTTTTTAACATAAGTCGCTTATTTACAGTTTTGCGTAATGTCATTTTTTTACCTTTTCGCAAAAAGGCGCAATTTCAAATTTGCAAATTATTTGTTAACTCAATACAGTTATCTTTTAGATTTATTCAGAATTTTTTTTTTTTTGTGCGCTGATAGTGATTTTAGTGTGTTTTTATCAATTGAATTGTGTATTTTTATCGGTTTAATATTAATTTGAGAAACATTTGCAATGATTTTAGGGGTGTTTTATCAATTGAATTGTGTATTTTTATCGGTTTAATATTAATTTGAGAAACATTTGCGCAATTATCGCAGGGCCTACAAATTTAGTGTCACCATCCTTTTTATTCTACCGGGCCTGCGCTTTCAGAAAATATATGGTTTGGGGGGGGTGTTTTACAAAGGCTAGCAACGCAGCTGTTGAAAATCAAATCAATGGGAAAAGTTGCCGGCATCTGGAGCCTCTCATGCTCCAGGCAGGGATCTGTGACTCCATGGAAAAAAATCTCCAGGGTTGGGGGGTCGGGCGGAGGAGCAAGCGCTGGCTGGCGGGGAGAAGCCACAAGTTTCAGGATTGCTGAGCTGTGAGGAGAACGGAGCCGCTGTCATCCTGTCAGTTTCCAGATGACAGCGGCTCTGTGCGTGGCCGAACGGAGGATCGATAAGTATCATTGATATTTTCCGATCCTCTGTGCAGCACAAACACCGGAGTGATCGTGTGATCACTCCAGTGTTTGTAAATAACTGGGGACACATAGGGGGTTATTCACAAAGCTGCCGAAGGCAGCCGAGTGAATAACCGACCCGAAGTGAAGTGAGCCGAACGCTGTTCGGCTATTCACTTCAGGCTTGTACAGCTGAAATCAGCCGTACACCGACTGAAATCAGCCGTACAACGGCTTGCTGCGGCTGGGTTCAGGTCGGCCAAAGTGCGGAAGGAGTTTGACTCAGCTAATCCAACATCTGGACCGGCTTAGTCGAACCTCCGGCAGGCTATTCGTTGCTGTTCGGCCTATTCTCATAGGGACCAAACAGCAGTGAGGGAATAGCCGAATGCCGCCGAGCACCGTTCGGCTCAGCTATTCTGCTCGGTGCCTCTGTGGTACCGAGCAGAATAGAAAAAGGAGAAAATTATTGGGCGGAGCTAGCAGTGACAGCTAGCTCCGCCGAAATGTTTTATATTGGACGGGACCAGCTGCCATTACAATAAGAGCTTGTCTGAACCGGCGGTCATATCAAAGCCGGCTCCGACAAGCTCTCATGACAGTCCAGCGTCCCCTGGTAACTAGGTAACCAGGAGATGCTGAACTGTCATTACACACTGAGAACCCGGCGGAGCCATTTTGATATCATGGCGGCTCCGCCAGGTTCTCAGTGTGTAATGACAGTCCAGCTTCCCCTAGTTACTAGGT